TATCAACAAGAAAGTCTTTATTAAGTATCTACTGTGTGCTAGGTACTAGATACTAGAGCAAAAATGAAATAGTCTTTGCCCTTGAGAAACTTACATTCTATGGAGAAAGAGAATATAATGCTATGTATCCATTTAAATATACAAAAAGTAAATGCAGGATCATAGCTACAAATTAGAATATACCAAAGAATATACAAGATAAAATGAGCTCTTCAACTAGGAATGAGATAAGACCTCAGTCCAAACCAGGAGAAAGAGAACAATGTCCATTCTCAAAAGTTTTAGATTTGCAAGCTTGGAGGTTAAGATACATGATGGGGCTGACTTCCCATACATGTCCAAGACTCCAAGAACTCCCAATAAACATTCAAAAGTACAAACCTTGCCTCTCTCGAGGCCTTCTCTTGAAGTGTCTCTGCAACCTAAGCCCATGAAAGAAATATGGGATGTTTCCCACATCTCCTCTTTTCTCTTTAGGATCTCTTAAGATCCCTTAAGGCTTGCTGACCCAATTGGGAGTCACATCTTCATCTAAATACAGAGCTGTCCCCCTTTCACTTCAGCTGGAGAAGTGGGTATTACAAAAAGGAACTTCATATTCCACAAATGATCATCCAGCTTTTGTTTAAAGACCTCTGGTTCAATTCAGTAAACATTTATCTAGTGCCTCCTATGTGCCAGGTACTGTGCTAAATGCTGGGGTATAAAAAGGGGAAAAAGACAGTCCCAGCCCTCGAGGAGCCTACAACCTAGTGGAAGAAACAACATCCAAACAAAAATATATGAAGCAAGTTATAAACAGGATAAATAGGAAATAATTAAAAGAGTGAAAGCACTGGAATTAAGAGGAGTTACAGATGGCTTCCTGTAGAAGGTGGGATTTTAGTTGATATTTAAAAGAAGACAAGAAGGTAGGTAGGGAAAGCATTGGAGGCCCGAAGCTGAGAGATGGCGCATCTTGTTTGTGGAACAGCCAGGAGGCTAGTGTCACTGGATAGAAGAGGATATGTTAGGCAGTAAGGCTTAAAAAGCCTGGAAAGTAGAAGGGGGCAAGGTTATAAAGGGCTTTGAATGCCAAACAAAGCATTTTGTATTGGCCCCTAGCAGTAGGAACTTGAGATGATGAAACCTATGGGGAATCTCCTGAGGGAGCCCATTCCTCCTGTAATTCTTTTTTCCTTAACTTAAGCTTCAATTTGTCTCTTTGCAGCACCTCATTACTCCCATCTTTGCCAAACAGAATAAGTTTATTCCCTTTTCTGTGCAATAGGCACAGTGACTGGACCTGTGATTTTATTAATTTAGGGAATGCCTGAGTCAGGAAACTCTCTCAAAGTAAATTGGTATCTTCTCTGCAATATGTAGCCTTCAAGAGTGAGCTCTGGACAGAGCTCTGAGTTTAAGTGTCTTGCTCAGGGTCATTCAGCCAATCACATCCTAATTGCTCTTTGTTAGACCCTCATCACCTCTCACCTGGACTACTGCAGTAGCTTCCTAATTGGTTTCTATGTATCCAATCTTTCTCCTCTCCAATCTGGGCTTCACATGGCTGTCAAATTAACATTGTTAAATTAAAGTTTTGACTTCTGCTTAATAAACTCTGGTGGTTTTTTGTCTCTAGGGTAAAATATAAACTCCTTTCTCTGCCATTTCACAACCTAGCTACCTTTCTAAACTCATTGTACCTTATTCCCCTTCACCTGTTTTATGATTCAGTCAAACTGGCCTTCTTGAAGTTCCTCCCATGTGCTATTCCATCCCTGGTCTCTGTGGGCCTTTGTAAAGACAGTGCTCTGTACCTGAAATTCTCTTCTTCCTTACCTAGGTCTCTGAGTATCCTTAGCTCAAGTGCCATTTCCTTTAAGAGGCCTTTCCTGATTTCGTCCAGTTATTGATTATCATGCCTCTTCCCTCATCATTATATCTTTGTTTATATCCTGTACTTATGAGTGAAAGTGTTGCCTCTTTCTGTAGAGTTTAAACTTTTTAAAGGTTAATTTTGTCTAAATATCCCGAGCGCAGTGCCTGGAACATAGTAGGCGCTTTAAAATGCTCATTGATGGATTGATTGAATGCAATTATAGGCTGTACCTATATAAGCCAGATTTAGGGGGAAAATGTGGTCTGTATTAAGACCAATACAATAAGTGACCACACAGTCTTCCTCAGGATAGGGCCAGCTTCCTGACCAGCTCATTAGCTTTTAGGCACACACCCAGAAATTATTAAGCATATTATATAAACAGATCAATGAAAGAAGTACCAATCTCTGGAATTCTGTGGAGAAAAATGATTTTAAAATGACCAAAATGTTAATACCTTTTCAGAGTGGTTCTGGTTCACAGAGTAAAATGCATGCTATATGATAAGCTACATGGGGCTATGGATAGAATCCTAGACTTGGAGCCTTAGAAGTCATTTCAGTCAGCTCTCTGTGGCCCCATTTTGGGTTTTCTTGGCAAAAATACTGGAGTGGTTTGCCATTTCCTTCTCTAGCTGATTTTATAGATGAGGAAATGGGGGCAAACAGGGCTAAGTGACTTGCCCAAGGTCACACAGTAAATATCTGAGGCCAGATTTGAACTCAGACTCATCTTCCTGACTGTAGGCGAAGCACTCTATCTGATTTGCCACCTCGTTGCCCCTGGAAGGCTTGGGTTCAAATCTCATCTCAAAGCCTTCCTTGCTATGTGACTTGGAGCTAGTCACTTAACCTCATCAGCAAAATGGGGATAAACAAAACAAAAGAGCACCACTCACAGCATTGTTGTGGGGACTGACTTATAATGACTAGTTTGTACAAGCATATGTGTAATTGGGAGAGAGGGCAAACAGGAACAAATGAATTATTAGAGCAGAGAGTGAGGAGGCTCAGAGAGGAGTTCTAAGTCTCTATAGGGAAGGACCAGAGGAGTCATCAGTTTTCCTCTTCAGAAAGTTTTTTCCTGGCTTGGCTGTCATCCCTACTTTCATAGAATTATAAAGTTTAAAGCTGGAGGGGACCTTAGACACCAGCACTTTGAGGTGGCCAGAACTGTCTGGTATCACCGAAGTGACAATTGTTTACCATCAACACTTCTTCTCTTCTTCCTCTACTTCTCCTAAGTGAAGTAAGGAATGGTCTGAAATTTAGTTTATACCCTGATTTATATAGTTTATGTCAGGGAGTTAGTAAAGTAGCAGCCTAGTAAGTATAGTAGAGTGAGGCCTGGGTTTCTATTTTGACTGCTGCTAATTCCCTGGGATCTTGGACTAGGCATTTGACTTTGAGACTTTGATTTTTCATCTGTAACCTAAGGATAATGCTATCTCTCATTCTACCTAAGAGGAGTGGGTACTGTGAGGATCAGATGAGGCAATGGATGTAAATTATTTTTATAATTGTAAGTTTTTATTATTTCCAATGAGTGAAGGTCTGGAGGGAAATGGGGCTGGGTTGAAAGAAGGGTGAGTCTTAGGAATTCACAGCACCTAAAGAAAAGTCCATTAGTAGGAGAGGTTTGTTTGGTTTTAAGTGAATTTAAGCTGATTTAAAGACAACCCAGATGGAATGAACACAAGAAGTTGATTTAAAAGTTACTTATAACAGGTATGGATTTCTGGCACATAGAGTTAGGGCCTAGACCTGTGACTTTCATTGGCATAGAGATGTCCTGGGTAAGAAAACTCTGAACCATGTAGGCCAGCAACTCCCTCTCAACTTATGGTAGTCTTAGAGAGTTGCCTAGAATACTGAGAGGTTAAGTCAGGTCCCATTGTTAGAACCTGAAGCCAGGAAAACTTGAATTCAAGTCTTCTTGGCTTCTAGGACAACTCTATATCTGCTATATCACAATGCTATCCACTATACTGCCTCTCGTTCTGGTTACGTATTTATAATTATTTGACATATCTTGGGTGGCATGGTATAGTGGAAAACATACTAGATTTGGAGTCAGAGAAACCAAGTTCAAATTTTGGCACTGTTGTTGGCTACCTGTGTGACTTTGGGCAAATCACTTAACCTCTCTGGGCCTCAGTTTCCTCCTGTGTAAAATGAGTTAAACATATAGTCTAACTTTTCTGAGGCCTTTTCTAGTTCTAGATCTGTGCTTCTAGATGACTTTTATTGTTTTAATTTAACTGAGGCTGAGGGGCAGGGGAAAGTAATAATGTTTTGTGCTGACAGCTGATCTGTCCATTATGATAATGGTCAGTCCAGCCATTTCTCTTACAGAAGAGTTTTCTGTGCAGTTATTATTGACACTATGGTGTTACAGTAAAGAAAATGCAACAGATGGTGACTTAATCACAAAGCATCTCAGCACCTCCAGGGCCACTGGCAAGTCTCCTTTCCACAGTTTGTCACCCTGCTTCTTCCTCCTCGCCTCTCCCCCCTCCCATTCATGCATCCTCACCCCCTCTCCCCCAGTCAATTACCAGTGTGAATGGACATGGTCATTTTTGGATGACAAGAAGATGTCCTGGGCTGGTTCCCGCATTGACTGATACAGGACACTGCATAGCTTTTGGCAGTGACTTACAGAATACTGATTTGTTTTCTCTTTTTCCCCCCAAGAAGAAAAGCCTTCTGGCTCCTGTTCTAGCTACTTTACATCGTTAAATGCTTCATTGGAGTCGCTCGGATTTAATTATTCATAGAAGTTTTCACAGGCAGATAATAGAACTTTTACTAATCCTCCTCTCCATTCACCACTCCCCCTCTCTTTGTCTCTTTTAGCCAAGGGAGGGGAAAAACACACGGACACACACACACACACACACACACACACACACACACACACACATATTTCTATTTTGGCACCTGGTGACCATCGGGAACCCAGATAAACTTCAGAGGTCTGTTTTGGTGAGATAGCCTTTGGAAGGTTCGGAAGCTGGAGAAACTGTCTCATTGGGACTTTGTATATGGAATTTAAGAAAGGGAGAGTAAGTTCATAAGCATAAACAGGAAAACCTTACATCACAAAGTGGCGTGGGGAGGAGTCTTTCTCTGCTCTCCCTCGCTCCCTCTCCTTGCTCAGTTCTTTGTGGTCATGAATTGACTGCAGCAGAATCCGACCAAGAGAGAGGGGGGCAGAGAGCAGCGGGAGTACCCGAGGCAGCGTGTGTATGTGTGTGTACACGCCTGCCTGCGAGGGGGAAAAGGGTGCAAGAAGGTTTGCAAGAAGAGGGGGAGAAAAGAGCGACTTTTGCTTCCGAGCAGGATTCATCATGCAGCTTCCATATACTGAAGACAAAACTGAGAATGAAATTGCTTTGGAAAGCTAAAATGGTAATTAGAACTTTCTGACGTCTCTAGAGACTTCTCTGGTGGGGAATCTCCACCCCACCCCTAGGCCCCCCACTTTTTATTTCCTCCAGTAGTTATTTGGACTGTCTTGGAGTGAACCGAGCCATCTGATCCCACATTTTCGTGCAGCTTCTCGGAGGGCTATCGGCAGGAGAGTTCCAGATTCTTGACTCTCTGGGTGTATGCTGCCCTTAAATGATGCTTATCTCCCCAGCAATTGTCTCGTGAGTGTGTGTGTGTGTGTGTGTGTGTGTGTGTGTGTGTGTGTGTGTGTGTGTGTATGTGTAATATGTAGCGAAGGGAAACTTTTCAGAAAAGGGAAAACAAAGTTAGTGGCGTCTGGGTGAATCCAGGTTTTTTGTTTTTCCTTTTTCCCTTTCTCTGGCTCAGGACTCTTTAATATGAAACTTGGGTTTAGTCGGGGACACAGCAAATCCGGGAATCATTTCAGAAAATGTTTGAGTTGCAAGTGCGTGATGATGTGATGCCTTTTTCTCACTTGCCAGATTATCTGATAGAAATAAAACTTTCCAGCGCCTTTAACTTTTAAAATTCCAAAATCTTAAAGAGAGGTGGTGGAATAGAGTAATTCCTTTTCAATGGAATGAAAACTTAGCATTTTAGACACTTGTTTGCTTTTGAGTTTAAATAAGTGAGGCATTTTAAAAAGTACAATCTTCCAGTGACTTTTTCCCTTTAACTTGGGGGTGGTGATGGTGGTGGTAGTTGTGTGTATGTGTGAAAAAAGCTGGCTAATCCAACCCAAGTCTCTTTCTTGAGGGGGAAAAAGTTTTGTTTTTTTTAAACTATTTAAAATATGTGAGAGTCTAGGAAAAATAACTAAATGGAAAAGTCCGGGTATCCTGATACCACAGAAAAAGGCAGCCTGCCAAGTAAATCTCGGCATTCTCTCTATCTCAATGTGCAGTGAGTTGCTCTGATTGTTAGATTTATTTTGAACAGCCCATCTTGTGCCTTGAGCGCTGAGGGAGACACAGTTGTAAGCAGCAAAGCAGCTGGATGCATTGTGGTTGGAGAGAGGAAGAAAAGCACTCTTTTTTTCTCTCTCCCCTTTCTCTCTTTTTGTTTTTCTCCCTTCCCTGGCAGAGCTCGATTCAGGACTGGGGTGAAGAGGTAGAGGAAGGAGCTGTTTACCATGTCACCCTCAAAAGAGTCCAAATCCAACAGGCTGCCAATAAAGGAGCACGATGGCTAGGGGTGAGTAACACTGTCCCAGTGGAAGCTGGAGAAGCTTTGGGAACTTTGCAACAGCCCCGTATGGAGTTCCAAGTCTCTGTCTTTCTGTGAATATCATTATTATTTAGCAAAGGCTGACTTTTCCCATAGAAAGGAAACTGACAACAAACCAAGTGTTTTTTTTTTCCTACTGGACTGCAGAAAACAGGTCTGGTTTTGTGCTTGGTATTTTCAAGAGCTCCTCCCTGGGCTTGTCAATAATTCAAAACCTCTTAGAACTCCCTTGAGATTGAAGGCAAACAGATTCTTGGTGAACAGTGCCACAAAGTAACAAGGAAAGATAGTGGGGCTTGAAACAGGAGAGATAAGCAAATTTTGCCCACATAGCATCCTTCTGTCTTTCACCCTGCCCCTCCTTCCGCAATAGAACCCTCCTGCCCTCCTCCTGTATTTTCAAGTACTGTATACAGAGTGCCAGGAGAACAGACCATGTCAAACTGATCTATCTTCAGTGAGTGACAGGCTTTCTGTAGGGATGGAAGCAAATGCCTTTCCATTGCCTTCAAACTGCATATGTGGGGTGCTGGGCTTCTGAGAGGTTTTGCTTTCCAGAAATAAGTTTATTTTCCCACTGAGACTCTAAAATATGTGGTAAGTCATGTCACTTCTGTTAGTTTTACAACCAGAAATCATTTGGCTCATCTAGAATGGGAGGGAAGAGAGAGAGAGAGAGGGAGAGAGAGAGAGAGAGAGAGAGAGAGAGAGAGAGAGAGAGAGAGAGAGAGAGAGAGAGAGAGAGAGAGAGAGAGTGTCAGAGAGTGTCAGAGAGTTTCATCTCTCAAGTTAGTGACAGGTTTGGGTACGTATCTCATTCTGAGAAAAGAAAGAGACCCATGACCTGAGAGATACAAGCAAAATGATCTTAGAGTAGAAAGGTGACAAGATGGACTTGATGGAAGACTGAGTGGTGGGTTAAGTCCCCTGGAAGGAACAGAGTTTTGCCATGTGGATCAGGTGTAATTTTTCCTGGCCTTGTTCTTGATAAAGCCTAACATCATCACAAGTTATAGGAAGGGAAGCAAACAGGGATCATATTGTTCAACCCCCTAGTTTTATAGATAAACCAAGGTCCAGAGAAAGGAGGTGACTTGCCCAAGGTCATACAGATGGCAAATGTCAGAGCTAAGGTTCAAACTTATGTCTTCTGGCTCCAAATAACAGTACCACACTCAATTCAAGACCTGTATTGTTTAAGTATTAAATGTGTCCTTTATGTATCTCTGTGTTCTTTGGTCTTTCAGGAAGCCTCAGAATGTATTAAACAGTAATCAGGGGTGACCTGAAAAGTTTTGGGAGAAGAGGGAACATATGAGGGACAGGAGAGGAAACAAAAATTACTCAAGGCCTCCTCTTAGGAATAGGGGAGCCATGTGGCCTTGTTTCACCTCTTCCCCTCCCCCTCAAAGCCCCACACATGGGGTTTAAAGAAGGACATCTAAGAACCATTTCCTCAATATGTAATTGCTGACATTGATATTCTGTGCTTTTCCTTCTGCTAAAGTTGGGGACATCCTAAACGCTACTTAAATCAGCCATACCACCCCTTAGGTGCCAGAAGGTATTTATTATTGACCTCTTCAGTTTTGGTTTGCAAGTCACTGAACTTAGTAAATGAAAATCGGGTTTAATGTAATGGGTATCTAACTTGAGATGCGCCTCATCAGCAATTCTGGCAGGAAATGCAGAGCTGGAGTTTGGGGCAGTGATCATCTTATTGCTGGCTCTTATATGTTTTGTAAACATGGTGTGGTTCGGTCACCCCGGTTATTTCGAAATGAAGCATAACTACTGAATAATCACAGCTGCCTTCAAAAAAGTCATTCCGTTTTCTGGTACAGTGTTATTCCTCTCTAATGACATTGTTCATCTTGCTTGGGTTGCACGTTTAGTTTTTAGCCAAATACAATAGCAGTAAATGACTGAATCATGTTGCAAGGGAAGAAAGGCTAACTAGGCATCCCTCCAAACAGATGCTTGGGGGCTGTGGTTTAAATAGGTCTCCTCAGTCATTTATTATTATTTCCTACTCTGTCTATTGGTTTACCTTCCCCTCTCCAATGGTCCTATACTTCCCACCTCTAATATTCTACATTGCCTGTGAACACACACACACACACACACACACACACACACACACACACAATCCGGACTTCGCTTACTTCTGGATATGACAGCAGATTTTTGCCCAGAAGAGTGAGGGACACAGAAAAATTGCCCAAACTGATAGAAGAAAGTGTGCTTTGCCTCTCATAGTGTCTGTATTTTGTTGCTCCCAATGCTTAAAAGTTGCTTAGAGCTTTTACAAAATCTTATGTTGGAAGGGATCTCAGAGGTTATCTAGTCCAACCTGTATCTGACCCCAAATACCCTCTACAACATTCTTAACAAGTGGTCATAAATATAGGATTTTGAGCTGTAAGGGATCTTAGATTATTTGGTCATTTTATAGATGAGTTAAACCATGGCCCTGAGAGATTAAATGAATTGAATGGATGAATTAAAAAGCGTTTATTAAGTGCTTATTATGTTAAGAGATAAAAGGATTTTTATTTTGGTTTTGGGTCTAAAAATACAAAAGTGCTTGATAGCATATTTCAGGAGTGGTAAGGAAGAGATTTTTTAAAAAATTTATTTATTTATAGTTTTCAACATTCACTTTTATGAGATTTTGAATTTTAAATTTTCTCCCTGTCCTTCACCTCCCCTCTCCCCAAAATGGCATGCAATATAATATAGGCCATACATACAGAATCATATTAAACTCATTTCCACATTAGTCATTTTGTAAAGAATTAGAACCAAAGGGAAAACCATGAGACAAAAAACAAAAAGAAAAAAGGAAAAGTAGTATGCTTGGATCTGCATTCAGACTCCATAGTTCTTTCTCTGGATGTGGATAGCATTTTCCATCATAAGTCTTTTGGAATTGTCTGAGATCCTTGCATTGCTGAGAAGAGCTAAGTCTATCAGAGTTGGTCATCACACAGTTTTGCTGTTACTATGTACAATGTTTTCTGAGGAAGGGATCTTTTTTGGGGGGATACAGGGATTGTGATTGGAGCCATGAGGCCATTGAAATTATACTCTTTCCAGGAACAATGATTGATGTTCCCAGAGCAAGAAGTAAAAAGGAGGGAGTAGAGGAGCAGAGAGTTGGAGTAGGACAGATGGCAGGATGCCCATGTAGACCTTGGTTTCCTGGTGGACTGTTGCTAGATGGAGTTTACCTAAAAATCATACAGGTTCTAAAGAATAGAACTGGGATTTAAACCCAGGTCCTCTGATTCCAGACGCAGTGTCCTTTCCATTACTGTCACTGTCTTTGGTCTCCATAATATCTCAGAATGTGTTATCTTCTTTTCTCTTTGTTGTTCCCAACACATTAATTCCCCACTTTTTGAAGTTCTGCTTTAGTCTCAGGAAATTCCAGATTTAACTAAATGTTGCCCAACCAATTGGGTCATGGGAAGCAGACTTTTAAAGTTTTCTTTTCTTTTTCAGTGAAATGAAGTAATTTCTCATGCGTATAACCATTTCAAAATTCCGAAAAGGAGCCACTTTTAGAGTTAAATAGAAAGTGAGAGTAGGAGGAGAAGCAAAGAAATGACAGCCCAAGGGTTCTTGACATGGTTTTTATGAACCTTAAAAAAAATTGTTTTCATGACTATTTCAATATAGAGTATCCTAAAAATCTTAATACTCTTTTAAACTATTAAAACTTAGTTTAAAACCACAGAAAGACTTTTGGGACACTAGTATGATCAGTTTCCTTCACAATCCTATGCATATAAAAACATTATTCTGAAAAGGAATCCATAAGCTTTTTCAGATGGCCGAAGAGGAGTCCATGACACAAAAAGGGTTAAGAACAGCTATGACTGATTATAAGAGCAGTTATTGTTTCATGTTTATCTTTGTATCTCCTTTGGATAACACAGTTCCTGGCACGCAGTAGGCACTTACTAAGTGTTTGTTTATTGATTGAGGAGGTCTCGAGAAGAGGGAAAGAATATGTTTACTAATTTATAAGTTCTTCAAGTATTACATCTTCTATTTCTTTTCTATAGCATCAGGGCCTCTATCACGGGGAAGGTCATACAATAGATGTTAAAGAAATACTTCAAGAATTGAAAAAGATTTCTGAAATGAAATATAGACAAGAAAGCTAGACCATAGAAAGGAAGGGAATGCTAAGAACTTCTAAGAAGGTGCTTATTATACCTTCTAAGGGGAGATACTTGGAATACAAACAGCTTTTACAAGAGTGGATAGGAACGATGATTAAAGGAAGATGATATCTACATAGTGTTTTCTCTCTTTTTTTCTTGAGGTAAAATAGCAATTCCATCCCACCATCAAGCTGATGTGACAGTTTTCCTTTCTGTGTTTTGGATGACAGATGTCTGTTTTAGTTACAGATTTGGGTACTTCATTGTGATTGGTGACTCCTTTGGTGGAGGGATTCTCTTCATTTTTTAAAAAGTGATTTAAGTACAGTGTTATGTAGAAATTAAGCATTGTTCCTGCCACGTAGACTTTACACTGTCAACCAAGCAGTCGAAATAACTGATCACTTTGTTTATTTGTTTGTACTGTATTCTCTATTCAAAATTAGGATTTGATCTTAAGTTAGACACAGAATGGCACATACCCATATGCCAAGTGTCTTATTTAATCCAAAGACATACAGTTTTGTTTTGGGTTGTTAGTAGTGTATAATGAAAAGAGCTCTGAATTTGGATTCTAAAGATGGGTTCTAGTCTTCACTTTACCACTTACTAGCTCCCTGACCTTAGGCAAGTTGCCTCATATCTCTGGGCCTCAGTTTCCTCAGCTGTAAAATGTGGGTGATGATACTTACACTGCCTACCTCTTAGGGTTGTTGTGAAGAAAGCACTTTTTAATGTACTGTAGAAATATGAGTTGCTGCTATTATTTAGGTAATCTATCACTTCTGGGAA